TTTTTTTTGTAATTAATTGCTTTTTATTTTGCTTTCTATTGACAATAAAGATAATGACTAGTTTAACAAAAAGTGAAGCACTTAAAATGAAACAAAACTCAGAGAGAATGAATATCACGTCTAGATAGAGTTTTTAGAGTTATATTTGTAAAGGAGTTTTGAGTGGTGCTGAAAGTTGTATGATTAAAATTGCATTGATGTTGTCATTTGTTCTTGAACTCTACTCAGAAAAGATTATAATGCAAGTTTAGTATGTCAATTTCCTTCAAACCAAAAATTAAGACAACAGAATAATGAAGGTGTGCGTGTAGATGATCTTGTTTTCATAGACACCAACAATCTACACCTTAGCTCATAATTTACTCATTACTACTTGTATTCTGTCTTACTTTGTGGTCTATTTGATATACTTAACGTGTCTAAATCGATTACAGAGAAAAAACAATCGAGAATATCCTGTTGTTTTTATTCAAAAATGTTTCAATAAATAATATTAGAAGATAAAATCGAAAAATATTTTCTCATTGTAGAAAATTAAAATGGAATTGATCGGTATTTCTTGAGAAACTAATTATATGTAATATGAATTTGAAAAAGTTTCAACACATTACTATATTTTTTATTGAAGTAAATCTAATTCAGATCAATAATGAAACTATTTCGACGAAACAAAAAATAGTTTTTTCAATGATGTAAAATGATGAATTATTTTCAATGTCATATAAGAATAGTTATCAATATATTTATTTTTGACTTTTATGGAACAAAAACCTTTCGAATGAATTCTTAGCTATTTTTATAATTGATTTATCATTTGGAAATTTGTCTTTTTCGAAGTGTTTCGAAGGAATCTCATACCTTTGATGCATTATTCTAGCACTTATGACATTAATATGTGATCCATGAAAATGTTGAGTTTTTAGGAATAATGAGTGAGTGAGATTGAACGTATAAATACGTTCCTCACTTCAATATCAATAATCTCCATAAACACTTATTTCAAGAGCATGTTGAACTTGATTTTAATGTTCAACAACATCATTTGTGTTCATATGTTAGATTACGTAAATCAAAATATGATTGTTATACAGTAGAAAAACAAACAAAAATAACAGTATTGAATTTTATTATTAAATGTGCTGTGTGATTTTCGTCAGAGAAAAATGTGTACAATATAAGCTATACAAAAAGAGAAGTTTATAACAGATCAGTACATATATATATATATGTCTAAATTAAAATTATTCTTCCGTAAAAACTTTCTATAATACATAATTGAATTTTTATATCATCTTCGTAATCATCAACTCTATTTTTTTTACTATTGATTCGGCTTATATAAATGGTAAAAACTGTATAGTATTAATTGATACAAATTTAATGTATCCAATTGATTCGTCTATGGATTTTTATCAAAATTCTCATTGATAAACAAAAATATTAGTAGAAAAGTAAAAGAAAAAAAATTCTAATAAAGAAAACTAATTCAATGAGATAAATCTTTTAATATTCAATGAACGCATCTACTAAATCCTTAAAGCATTTAGGTATGAGCTAATAAGAAGAGCTCATCAGGTTCACACCCCTCTGTTATCTTCTGTATTACAATTAAATATTAAATAAAACAAAATATAGATAAAGAAGAAAAGTAAAAAGATTGCTTTCGAGCAAAAGCAATAAATAATTCATTCGATTCATTCTCAAAAAAAAATTTACACGCACAACTTTCAACAGTATTTATCAGGTCATAATTATACAAAAATTACAAGTTTTAAATCTCTAATCGAAATGTATTTTTTCCTGTAAACGAACTTTCTCAATTATTCTTTTCTAACAGTAAAAAGGTCAAACATTGTTCCTATTTCATAAGAAAAAAACAAAACAACTAGAATCTTTTATTCAAGCTGATATTTTTGTTACTAATAAATTGTCTATATTCATGTTGAAGAACAACAGTGCAGTGTCAGACTCAACAAGATATATAAAGAGATTAATATTAAAACAACGTTCACTGAAATACTGATAAAGAATTCGTCTATTTGTGGATTTTACCAAAAGACTCGTCTAACTTTACAAAAAATCTTTTATTAAAAGCTTTTTTATTAGTAGAAATTTATCATAAAAATTATAAGGACGATATCATTTACTCGAAAGAGGTTTGCAATTTTCTTTAAATCTCTTCTATGTCTCATAGATTCACTTATACTTTCAAGCATAACAAAAAACCATGTATATATGTCTAATGAGAAAACAAAATGTGATTCATTAATTTATTTATTATTACTACTGAGATTTCTTTTATAGATTCAAATAATTAATCTATACATAATTTTATTTATGAAAATTCTGAGATATTTTTCAATGAACTAACAATAAAACTCTGTATCTCACAAATACTTGATAAAAATATCAATTATCTTTAGAAAATCATAGAAAACGAATATTCGTCAGAATATGAATTTATCCTTAACGAGAAAATATTCCAATAAGTTATTCAGCATGTTTTCTTTTTTTTTTTAGTGTAACGCCTCACTCTACATCTATAATCGAAATACAGAATACACCAACAACTGTATGATGGGAGATCTGAATAAAAACAAAATATACAATTTCTCAAGCAACTATAGTTTAATCATTTTCTAATAAAAAACTAACATCGAATTTTTATAAAAACTTAAATATCTACACTGAAAACAAAATGAAGTTGTTGTATCTGTCGAATAATTTTTATACAAGAGAAATATAATGAGAAATACATGAAGACATTCATCAAATGCTCTACTGCTATCATTATTGTCTCTGTTAGAAAATACTTCATTTCATTCTAATTAAATGACATTACTTCATAGAGAGTACTTTGTCAGGTAACTAAAAACAGTTACCACTTTCATTTCTACAGTGTCAAAATACTCATTAATAATTCAATTAAGAAAGTGGAACATATAAAGGCAATAACGTTTATTATATCTAAACGAACAATGCCTCTTTTTTGTACTAATGCTTTGTCTGATATACAGTTTCGTATAAAAATCTAGAAATAATATTCCTTTTACATTACAGTTGTTTGTTCAAAATGTTTATAATGATGAATTTTGTTTTCATCGATAAATCTTGAAAATTTAACGAGTACAAATATGATATACTCTATCATCAGGAGACTATTTTGTGATGAATTCATAGCTGTTTATATATTCATTACTATATATCGATGAATATGACAATATAAGTGAATACACATCATTCATAGTTTGTTATGTACAAGTTGATACATATTGGACGAAAATTATGTAAATCCTGAGAAGCACTATATTTTAATGAAAATAAAATTCAGTAACGATGAAAATCATTTGAAATGAAAGAAATTCATCAATCTTAAATGTGTAGAAATTTCAATTTTTGCACAACTAACATTTCTTTAAAGAAAAGTCGAAAAACTATATGTGAAAAAAGTTCACGCAAAAATTTCTCAGAAATTTCTCAAATACATATATATACATATATATTGAAGATAATGAACACGTCTATATAATTTAGACATATATATATTTCAGACATTCTTAAAATAAAGATCACATTTTGTAAAAATAAAACACCTATTTTTTATGTTACTCGAGTTGATGAATTCTCTTGTCTTGTATTCTTATTTGAAGAGGAGCAATGTGAAAGAGAAAGACAACACCCTATATATATGTAACATGAAAATTTTTTTTCGTCGACGATGACATGATATAGATGTATGTCAGACGAGAAAAAAAATCATCAAATCAATTAAAACAGAAGTAGAGTGATTGATAAAAAATCAATCAAAATTTTGAACATCGGTCAATTAATCTCAGGGTATATAAAAACATGTATACATCATTATGAAACAGTATACACTCGAGTTGTATTATTATAATGCATTACAATGTATTTATATACCCGGGATTATTATTTATTATTACTATTATATTATTTACAATGATAATTATATTATTAAATTCTATATGAGGTAAATAATAAATTCATTATATATTCAATAATGCTTTTTTTTTCTTTTTTTTAGATGAGTTTCACTACTATACAATATTGAGAAGTAAGAAAAAAATTTTTTTTTACATATTTAGTTTAGTGGAGCTGAGATAAGTTATTTTGAGAAAAAGTAAATACTATCTGTTATTATGAGTATGAGTTTATTTGAGATGAGTTGAGTCATCAATGTAGATCAGATAGCTACGTTGTCTGATTCAATCGGTAGAGGAATTTTGCCATAGCGAAGCAGTGTAGCACTAGGGAAGGCCTCTATGTGTCGTTGGTCCCTACCGTTCATACGGCATACCTTCGGCCATTGCCCTACCAATCCGGCGTAGTCCGCCTGTGGTACCTATGGCATCGACAAGGGATCTCTCCCTTGTCGCGCGCGCGCACGAATAAGCCAAAATGAACCGAGAAAAATCGAAACGATTAGTAATGTGAATAAATTTATTGAGCAAGCGAAAAGAAAAAATTACAGTTACATTTTCTTTTTTACATTGTCAATTGAGTTTTTAACCTTTCTAATATTAGGATGGTTAGGTGGAAGTGATTTTTGCAAGATAGAAAGTGCCTTTTCTAAGAATGAGAGTGCTTTCGAGTAGTCTCCTTTGCCGAAATACGCCAAACCAATGTTATTGTAGGAAGTAGCCAAATCGGGATGATTCGAAGGCAGAGCTTTTTCTTTTATTTTAAGTGATTTTTCGTAAAATTCAAGTGCTTTCGAGTAGTCACCCATGCCGTCATACACTCCACCGATGTTGTTGTAGGAAGTAGCCAAATGAGGATGATTCGAAGGCAGAGCTTTTTCTTTTATTTTATGTGCTTTTTCGTAAAATTCAAGTGCTTTCGAGTAGTCACCCATGTCGACATACACTCCACCGATGTTGTTGTAGGATTGAGCCAAATCGGGATGATTCGAAGGCAGAGCTTTTTCTCTTATTTTATGTGATTTTTCGTAAAATTCAAGTGCTTTCGAGTAGTCACCCATGTTATCATACGTTCGAGCGATGTTGTTGTAGGAAGTAGCCAAATCGGGATGATTCGGAGGCAGAGCTTTTTTCGTGATTTCGAGATCTTTTTCGTAAAATTCAAGTGCTTTCGAGTAGTCACCCATTGCGAAATACACTTGACCGATGTTGTTGTAGATAGAACTCAATGAAGGGTGATCTTCTGGTAGAGTTTTTCGATAGATTTCGAGAGACATTTCATAAAATGAAGCTGCTTCTGTATATTGTCCTTGGTCGTCTTTCAACCATCCAAGCTGGTGATAGATATGTGCTTTATCACTGTCGTGAGAAGCCCGTTCTAGTAGTGCGGTGTACAATTCTTCGGCCTTGTTGAATTGACCTATTTGGAGCAGCAATTTACCCATTCGATACCATCCAGTGCTACTTGAAGATTCTTCTCGTATACGGTCGGTTAACTGACGAAGTTGTTGGTCATCATCCGACGTAAGTTTGAGGTCCACTTGATAAAGTGGACTTTCCTTGTCAATTTTTCGGACTTCACCAATTCGAAAGACGGTATGCATGGAGAAAAGAATTTCTTTTTCACACTTGTAATAACTCACTTCCTCGATGGAGGCGAAAGGAGTCGATGAGATTGTGGGATCTATTGTCATTTGAAAGAGGATTCCGACCATATCGGTTGCTCCTAAGGCATCTCTGGCGAAACCGAGGGAAACATCTCGTTTTGTACTGGTGGATAAAAAGTTGTTGAAAGATATGAGACCACCTTTGTTTTTTGCAAGTTTTTCGAAGTCACTTGTCGATAATCCTTGTCCCCTATAAACTAACAAGGACTTTCCATGATACTGGCTGACCTGTTGGCTGTGTAATTCTTCAATTTGTCGATGAACATCACACAGGAAAAATCCCATTTGGATGATAATGTCGCCATCCAATATTCTTAATGCTCGATTGAGCATTTTGAAGGTGAAGCATTGGCGTGTATACCACCATAAGGCCAATGTTGGATGATAATTACGTTGAAATTCATTGATTAATTTGAGTTCTTTGGTATTGCCTTCGTATTGTTCTTGGCAATATGTGACCAAGTCTTTAATGGCTTTTTGGTCATGTTCCATGTCAAGGAGTATTTCCTTGAATATTTGAGTATACATGAATGATGGTTCTAGCTGATTGAGATTTTCGCTAGAACCATCTGTATCAGCACTAATTATACTGACCACTGTATTATTTTGATTGCATTGCTTGACAGCTATTTGCAATGCTTCGCATATGGATTTGATTGTTTTGTGGACGCCTTTAATTTTTGTCCAATACTTAGCCCATTCTTTATGATATTCCTTGTTGCGACAAAAAATATATATAGTATTAAGATTTCGCATTCCATGAATAGATGGTGCAAGAACTTGTCCAAGTTCACCAGAGGAGATAATGAAAGATGTCTCCTCCTTGTTTTCATTGAGTAATGTGATGCATTCTTCTGCTGTGATGCACAATTTGACTTCATTAACAATACCTCGTAATTGCGACAGTGTATATTGACAATCTTCATTTTTCATATTGATATTCGCATCAACCCATATGACTAAATAGTTTTCAGTCATACGTTGTTGCCGTTGTCGACTCATTTTCAATGTATTGGTGAATAATGTGTATGAACAGAATTTACCTTTCGTATTTATATATTCGATGCATGTTGTTTTTTTTCTAGATTTTTCTACGATGTCAAATGTTAATATTTTATTTTTTCGTCGATACTCAATAACAACCTATACCTAGTATGAATCAAATGTATGCTTGTCAAAAAAAGAAATTAAAGGGAAAAAGCCCATCAACGTCATTTATGGTATGATTATTTTTTACCATTTGCAATTACGTTTCAGGTGAAGCGTAACATAAGTTTCATTTTATTGATATCTTTTCTCATACGTTGTATATATTTTTTTCGATTCTTTCAAAACCAAACTTTTTTCTCTTGCTGAGAAGAACGAAGAAAACCAAGGACATCGTCTGTGTGTTTTTTTTCTCATTATGCATACGATTGA